TTATTTCTCACCCTTCTATATTTTTGGATTAACTCTATTCCTCTATAACAGACTCTGTTCCAGGCTTTCTCTATTCCTGTGTCCTTCCCACATCACTACCTCTCTGCCTTATTTCCTTTTAATTGAATACGGACATTTTCCTCTTGTATTTCTCTTTCCTTTTCACATATGCCTCAACTCACCTTCTTTACCCACCTCTCCCCTCTAGATGCCTCTTTGTCTTCACTTTACTTCCTTACCATGTCAATTTGCACTTTTCCCCTCTTTTACTACCGTATACACACATATGTATAGTGCAGCTACATATATCGCTTCCCCCATTTTCCTCTATTATTTCACTTAATAGTTTTTTTATTGAGACATAATTCACATGCCATAAAATCCACTCTCTTAAAGTATACAGTTGAGACCAGCCTGGGTAACACAGTGAGACTCCCATCTCTGACTGCGGTAGTGGGCACCTGTACTCCCAGATACTTGGGAGGCTGAGGCAAGAGGATCACTTGAGCCCAGGAGTTGGACGTTGCAGTGAGCTATGATCACACCACTGCGCTCCAACCTGGGTGACAGAGCAAGACCCTGAGAAAATAAAGTGTATGATCTAGTGGTTTATACTACATTCACGAGGTTATGTAACCATCACCACTCTCTAAATCCAGAACCTTTTGTTACTTCAAAAAGAAACTCTATACCCAAGAGCCATGGCTTTTGATCAGGTCAGTCCAATTTATGCAGATAGAGGGAAAGCCCCTTCCAAAACTTTTTTGATCTCGAAGGCCTGTAATTCAAAATACTCTTTATACCAAAGAGTCATATCTTGGCATGAAGTTTCCTGAACTCCTTCAGTCATGTGGTAGTTGCATATTTTGTTTTATAAGAAATTGCCAAACCTTTTCAGAGTGGCTATAACATTTTATATTTCCACCAGCAATGTATGAATGATCCAGTCCTTCCACATCCTCACCAATGTTTGGTCTTATTAATATTTTTTATTTTCACCATTGCTATAAGAATTTAGTGATGTCTTATTGTGGTTTCAATTTGCATTCCATTAATGGCTAATGATGTTGGACATCTTTTTGTGTGCTTATTTTGCTATCTGTATATCTTCTTTAATAAAATGTTTGTTCATGTCTTACAAGGTTTTTTTTAACCATACAGATATTTGGGTTTCCTAGAATCATTTGCTGAAAAGAATATCATTTCCCCATTGAATTACCTTGGCACCTATGTTGAAAATTGGTTGCTATATGAGTAATTCCACCAGCTGCTCAGGCCAAAATTCTTGAAGTCACAGTTGTATCCTGTCTTTTTCTCACTTGCCACATATCTAGTCCATCAGCAAATCCTGTTGACTCTGCCCTCAAAATATATTTCTCCCACTGCTATGCAATACACTACTCCAAAACATTAGCTGAAAACAATAACCATCATGTATTTTGCTTGTGACTCTGGGCTCAGCAGGGCAATCCTTGCTTATAGTCTAATGTAATTGCAGTCAGATGGTGTCTGGGGCTGTGGTCATCTCTTCTTGAACTCCTGGCCTCAAGCAATCCCTCCCCTGCCTTGACCTCCCAGAGTGCTAGGATTACAGACATGAGCCACTGAGACCGGCAGGTCATCTCTCTTTATTCACATGTCTGATGCCTGGTCTGGAGTATCTGGGGCTTTTCAGGCACCCCTCTTCCTCTTTCTCTCTATGGAGTCTCTCCAGGTGGTCTCTCACACTGGAAGCCTCAAGATATCCAAACTTCTTACATGGCAGCTGAAGACCATAAGAGCAAGTGTCCCAAAACAACCTGGTAAAATACACACGGCCGTTTTAAAATTAGCCTTGGACATTGTGCAGTCTCCTTCTTGCTAATGCTACCCAACTGGGTTCTATTGCTCACTGCACAGAAGGAAGCCAATACAGTGAGACAGCAGGTGTTGTAGGGGAGAGAGTTTAATATTACAAGGCTACTGAGTGAGGAGACAGGAGAAACTTCTCAAACCTGCCTCCTCAAGAGTTTTGGGGCCAGAGTTTTTAAAGATAGTTTGGCAGACAAAGGACTAAGGAATTGGGTCTGCTGATTAGCTGGGGATGAACTCATAGGGTTGGGAAGCAGAAATTATCTTCCTACACTGAGTCAGTACTCAGGCGGAGGATCCAGGAAATGTTGAGCCAGTTCCTAAGTGTGGCCACTGGTCTGGTTGACATCAGTCCACTCGAATGCAGAGTCTGGGAAATATCTCAAAGATCAGTCTTGGGTTCTACAATAGTGATATTATCTATGGAAGTGATTAGAGAAGCTACAAATCTTGTGATAGCCAGGGATACATGACTCCTAAGCAGTAAGCAATTAAAGGAAGGCAAGCTGTGGACAATGGCTGGTTAACTTTTAGCGATGCCTATAATTCTGCGGAAATCAGACTCCTGCCACAGTTCTTGCCTTATGGCCATACCTTACTTTAACATAGGCGGTTTCATTCCTGCTGCATTCCACTAGCATAGAACTGCTTTCCACTCGGAATTGGATAAGAATGTTGGTGCATTTTTGTTCAGAGTTCCTGGGTACACTTATTCACATTGCTAAAATAATTATTCTAGAATTTAAAACCAAAGTCGTTATGCATATGTATCCTTATTCAATACATGTAGTGGGTTGAATCGTGTCCCCACTGAAAGGTAGGTCCACATCCTTATCCCTGGAACCTGTGAATATTACCTTATATGACAGAAGAGTGAATACTACCTTATATGGCTAAAAATGTGATTAGATTAAGAATCTTGAGGGGAGGAGCTTATCCTGGTTTGTCTAGATGGGCCCTAAATACAATCACATGTATCCTTTTAAGAGAGATACACAGGGGAGAAGACACACACGGATGGGAAGGCAATGGGAAGATAGGCAGAGACTGGAATGATGTTGCCACAAGCCTGGGAATGCCAGGGCAGCCACCAGCAACCAGAAGAGGCAAGGAACATGTTCGTTCCTAGAAGCCCTAGAGGGAACATGGCCCTGCCAGGTTTTAGATGTGTAGTCTCCAGAACTGAAAGGGGATTTTTCATTCATTTTCAAGGTCTAATAAATTCTAATATGGCTTTTAGTTGGTATTAAAGGTAGTGAAAAGTCAAGGGGTTGTTCATTCACTTGAGTTAGATAAACCAAAACCAGAGGCTTTATTTTAATTTTATAATAGTAAAATGGCAAAGTTCAGGAAAACTGAAAGACTTGGGAAGGACTAGAATTGATATAAAAGAAACAATCAAGACTTTTTATCTCTCTTTAAACCAGGATGTTTTTCTTTAATAGTTTCCTTCTCTTTAGATTTTTTGTTTTTGTTTCTTTGAGACAGAGTCTCACTCTGTTGCCCAGGCTAGAGTGCCGTGGTGTCACCCTAGCTCACAGCAACCTCAACCTCCCAGGCTCAAGGATCCTCTTGCCTCAGCCTCCCAAGTAGCTGGGACTACAGACACATGCCACCATGCCTGGCTAATTTTTTATTTCTATTTTTAGTTGCCCGGTTAATTTTTTCTTTTTCTTTCTTTTTTTTTTTGAGACAGAGTCTTACTCTGTTGCCCAGGCTAGAGTGCCATGACATCAGCCTAGCTCACAGCAACCTCAAACTCCTGGGCTCAAGCAATCCTTCTGCCTCAGCCTCCTGAGTAGCTGGGACTACAGGCATGTGCCACCATGCCTAGCTAATTTTTTCTATATATTTTTAGTTGTCCAGCTAATTCCCTTTTATTTCTTTTAGTAGAAATCGGGTCTTGCTCTTGCTCTGGCTGATCTCGAATTCCTGAGCTCAAGGGATCCTCCCTCCTTGGCCTCCCAGAGTGCTAGGATTGCAGGCGTGAGCCACCGCACCTGGCCTAGTTTCCTTCTCTTTATATTTTCTTCAAGCTAAGTTTCCTATGGATCTAATTCAACAAAATGAAAAATGTGGTCTCCCTATAGAGAGGAGGTTTATATTTCATGGACCTATTAATATGAAAAGTTTTCTATTCAAATTCTGAGAAAGAGGACATTTAATTATCACTGAACAGCCCAATTTGGTTTTGGTTAATGGAGCAGATAACATTGTAGTAAAAAATGATGCCTCTGGGAATCATTACTGTGGGTCAGGCTGGACGGAGCAGTTTAAAGGAGAAGTCATCACCACGGAGCTTGTGAGAGAGGGACCTTGTCTTAGCTCAGGCTGCTAGACAAAGTACCAGGCTTATAGACAACAGAAATTTATTTCTCACAGTTGTGGATTCCAGAAGTCCAAGGTCAGGGTGCCAGCATGGTCAGGTTCTGATTAGGGCCTTCTTCCAGGTTGTAAACTGCCAGCTTCTCGCATCCTCACAGGACAGGAGGAGGGCGAGAGAGCTCTCTGGGGCCTCTTTTATAAGGGCACTATTCCTACCATGAGGACTCCACTTTTATAACTTAATTACCTCCCAAAGGCCCCACCTCCAATCACATTAGGGGTTAGAATTTCAACATAAGTTTTTGGAGGACACAAACATTCAGTCCATAATACTTTCTATAGAAAATGGTGGAATGAATTGTCAAGTTTTGGGGAGATTCCCCACTGTAGGAATGTGTTGCATCACAGTTGCACTGACTATAGAGCCATCTCAGACAAGACCTGCTCCCTTAGCAGAGACCCCTGCGGAGAAGTCTGTTTGGTACATTCTTCCCCTCCTGCTGGAAAGTTAAAAGCACAAAGGCAGAACCCCAGAGGCTGTATTGGTGCCGAGAGAGGGGCCCTGCTGACCGGAGTCGATGTCCCAAGGTAGACAAATAAACGTGGCAAGCAGATTTCCTACTCCGATAATTTAGATCTGGCCCCAGGGAAGAGGCCAAAGTGAAGGCCAGGTCAGAGGTCCGCACACCTGCAGCTTGTTTCTATCAGAGCGAGATGGGCTGCAGGTGGAAATCCTTACAAGCGCTGCAGACTTTGGCCAAGCCTTTAAATTCAGAGCAACCTGGAGAGGAGAAGAGATTGGAGGTGGGCTCCAGCCATGCAAAATGGAGGTCCAATTGCCTGACCTGCCAGTGGCGCTAATCTTCTCCTTCCTGGATGCGTTCAGCTTGCTGCAGGTTTCCCAAGTGAACAAGGTAAAGGCTCCGCACCTTTACTGCTCTGTCTGATTTTCTCACACCCTCCACCTTGTCAGTTCTTGCCCAAGGACCCTTCCCCCTCTCACCCTCAGCCATGGGATCTTGGCCACCCAGCGTCAGGCCCACACAGCCTTCCTTCATTCCTTAAATTTACCTTGTTCAGACCCACCCATTCGGCTCTGAAACAGCAGTGTCCCTGAGGCTAAGTCACTTCTTTTGACCAGTTTGAGCACCAATTTGCAGAAGAGCAGAGGGATAGTTGAGCAGCTGGGAGTTAGCATCAGTTCACCCGTTCACCCGGAGGGCCTCATAGTCTGTTAAACACAAAGGACCAGCTGACATACAGGAGTTGTGCTGACTAAACGGTCCTTGAGGCTCCCATTTCAAGCCTTAGGAAATCAGCACTTCTTCCTCTGAACTCCCATTGGCCTGCAGAGTGGCTGTATTAGCAGCGATAGATCTCTGCTGTTACCATTTCCCTGTCTCCCCAACTGGGAGTTCTTTGATAGCTGGGATCCTGTCTGATTAACCCGTCTGGGCCCAGCTCCCAGAGCAAATAATAGCAGAGGAGGAGCCAACATTTGGGTACTGATCGCCTGCTCATCTTTTCCTTTCTCTCCATAGTGTTGGAATAGGATTGCAGACAGTGATCACCTGTGGAGGTGAGTAGGGGAAGGGGCAGGTACGGTGGGGAGGGAGAGGAGGTGCCAACTGTGCACCTTCGCTCTACCCAGGCCTGTGCTGAGGGAGGCAAGCAGCAAGGTTAGGGGGAGTGTGGGGTCATGAGATGGAGCAGTGGCTCTGAGGAGGTGAGCTGAGGACAGCCTGACGGGATTTTGACTGTTTACAGAACACTGTGTCTGAAGAGATGGGGCTTCTGCAACTTCACCTCTAAGAGTCTGGGTACACAGTCATGGAAGCAGTTTTTCCTCCGCCAAACAAAGGAAGAGCGTCGGATGGCACTGGCGCAACCAGATGACTTTACCTGCAAAGAAGTAACTCCTGACCTTGGTATGGGGACATGTGCCCTAGAGGAACACAATAAACTTGTTGTCAGAAGTCCACTCGATTTTATTTTTCTTGTATGCAGCTCTGTGTTCTCATCCAGTGAAAAGGAATTAAAATGCAACAGGTCAGGGTTGCTGTGGCAGCCATGTGACTAGTCGCCACCCGCCCCCACTCCTCTCCTCTCTCATTCCCCATGCTCTATGCTGAATGAAGAAACCAGAGTGATCTTTTCAGAACATAAAATCGGGCCCTGTGTTTCCCTTCTCCCAAAGGCTTCCCATCCCTCCTAGAATAAAAATCTGAAAAAAATTAGTGGGAAACTCCAAAATAACAGAGGCTCTACTGCTCACTTTATTCCTGATAACTCTTTTTTTTTTTTTTTTGAGACAGAGTCTCACTTTGTTGCCTGGGCTAGAGTGAGTGCCGTGGCGTCAGCCTAGCTCACAGCAACCTCAGACTCCCGGGCTCAAGCAATCCTACTGCCTCAGCCTCCCGAGTAGCTGGGACTACAGGCACGTGCCACCATGCCCGGCTAATTTTTTCTATATATATTTTTAGTTGTCCAATTAATTTCTTTCTATTTTTGGTAGAGACGGGGTCTCGCTCTTGCTCAGGCTGGTCTCGTACTCCTGAGCTTAAACAATCCGCCCACCTCGGCCTCCCAGAGTGCTAGGATTACAGGCGTGAGCCACCGCGCCTGGCCCTATTCCTGGTAACTCTTAAAACTCAGAACAGTTCTCTGCTAGAGAGATTTTTATATCTGTTTTATATCTATGGAAACTGAGATTAAACAGGAAAAACAAGTTGGCCAGTATCTCTCAAATGGCCAATCTGCAAAGGGAACCCATGTTTGGCTGACTTTGAAGCCCAATTTCCATCTTCCCCCAAGAGAGTACAGGAAAACTTAAAAGTGTCTTTATTTGGTTTGGGTCATCCCTCAACTATCTAGTGGCCAAGTATTATCTGTGTTTCCTTCTAGAAATCTTTGAAGAGGTGGCTTATCTCTCAGGACATGGCCTCACAATGGATGGACAAAAGAAGTCAATTGTTTGTGTTGTGTCTTCGAAGCACACACTTGATACCTGGGATGTGCAAGAGGTGAGCCTGGCCAATAAGTAGCGAAAGTAATGCCTACCTGCATCCACCCACTACATTTACAAAACAGAAGTGCTAAAAGAAAATGATACTCAAAAGTGGTAACAGAAACAAAGTTTCAAAGCAGGTTTTCTAACTTATAATTTGTAACCTTTTCATTTAGATCACAGACACAGAGAATTCACTTTTTAATATGTTTCTGTATATGTACTTATACCAGGACTTATTTTCTCCCAGTAAGATGGAGTGACTTTGTGAAACAATCTTTTGGCTATATGCCTCTTTATTACCGATTCTACTGTCTTTTTGTCAATGCTTGGCATTTATTATGTGGGCTTTTGCAGAAAGTGGTCTCTAACTCAGATGACCTCCAAGAGGCACAAAGGTCTTATAGGGACATGTAGTGTAAGGAACACTGAATAGGGATTTGGAAGACCCCAAAGTGGGTCCCAAATTATTGTATTTTCTTGTATTGTATTTTCCTGTTTGTATTTCTCTCTCCCTCCCTGTAAAAAAAAAAAAAATTGGATGACTGTCACTCAGGGTCTTCTGAAGTATGGTAAATACTGTTTTATGAATGTATGAGGTGGCAGGGAAATGAGTTAAACATCTAGAAGGGGGCCAGGTGCAGTGATTCACAGCAGTCATCCCAACAGTATGGAAGGCCAAAGTGAGAGGATCACTTGAGGCCAGGAGTTCCAGACCAGCCTGGGCAACATAGCAAGACCCTGTCTCTAAAAAAAAAATTAGCTGGGCATGGTGGCACGCACCTGTAGTCCCAGCTATTTGGGATGCTGAGGTGGGAGGATCACTTGAGCCCAGGAATTCAAGATTGTCGTGAGCTATGATCATGCCACTGTACTCCAGCCTGGGTGACAGAGCCAGACCTTGTCTCTAAAATAAAAAATTCTAGAAGGATATCTTTTGGATAATTTTCCTCTAGGGGAAATTGAATGTCCCTGAGGACATTCAAGCAGCCCAATGAAGAGGTCCACATGGCAAAGAATTCAGATCTGCCAACAGCCAACACCAGCCTGCAGTCATGTGAGTGAACCATCTTAAAAGCAGATCCTCCAGCCCTAGTCAAGCCTTCAGCTGACATCTTGCTACAACCTCATGAGAGACTCTAAACAAGAACCACTTAGTTAATCCACCGTTGAATTTTTGGCCCACAGAAACTGTGTGAGATAATGTGTTTATTGCTTTAAGCTGCTAAGTAAATTGTTATGCAGCAAGAGATAACTAGTATAGTTTTCATTACCTGGAAGTGGGGTGCTGCCATAACAAAAACATAAAATATTAAAGAAACCTTGAAACCAGGCAATGGAAAGTTGGAATGACTCTAAGGAGAGTGTTGGGCCTTGAAGAGACTGTTAGCAAAAATTGAATGCCCTGCCATGAGGGCTTAAAGGAAAGGGTAAAAAATGTTACTGGACGCTGGAGGAAAAGGGATCCTTGTTATATGGCAGCAAAAGTTTAGCAACACTGTGACCCATGGTAAGGTGAAAATTTAAAAATGCATTCAATGAATTGAATAATCTTGCTAAGGAGATTTCCAGGCAGCATTCTCAGTGAGGTTGCTTCTTTCTGCTTACAGTAAAACACAAGAGGAGAGAGGGAGAAGATAAAGATTGCCAAACTAAAGTGAGCTGGAAATTGCTAGCTTTGAAAATACCCAGATAGGAAATTATGCTGAAATTTAAATAATGGATTCCAAGAAAAGATCTATCCAGAGCATTGCCAGGAAATTATACTGTAAAGATGAAGCCAAAGGGGTGGCTGCAAAATTCTTTGTTAGACTTTAGAAAGATCTAAGGAGGTGCCTCAGAGAACTGTTCAGTCAAGCAGTAGGACTTCTAAAAAGCTTAAGGCATTATCCTCAGCACCCCAGCAGAAGCCCAAGATATAAAAGGATTTATTGCATAGACTTCTGTGGCTTGTGTCTAGGGTGTAAACTCCAATAAGATTCTTAAGAGATGCACAAAGTTTTTAAGAGAATTATATTGGCAGAAACACTGCCAGCTTGGGCTTAAAGGGGCTAAAACATTACAAAAGAAAAAGAAGTCTTTGGATTCCAAAACTTTTACAGATAGGAAGCAGGCTACAAAAACTACTTGGCTGCAAAATGGGGCCACCATATACAGAAAAGGAAGGATGACTCAGAGGACAGAACCAAGAACCTAGAAAGTGGAGCCAAGAGTCATGAAGAATCTTTCTCAGGCCTTAAATCCTAATCAACAAACTGTCAGCATGTTCTCTATTGGATTTCAAAATTTCTGTGTAGCAGAGATTCACTGGTGCTTCCCTTTCCCACTTGCCCCCATTTTTGTATTTTTGCTTTTTTTTTTTTCCTAGATGGGTTCTCATTGTGTTGCCCGGGCTGGTCTTGAAGTCCTGGCCTCAAGCAATCCTCCTGCTTCAACTTCCTGAATAGCTAGGATTACAGGTGTGTGCCACTGCACCCAGCCCCAATTTTCACCTTTTTTGAATGACAGTGGTTATGTTATCCTATGACTACCCTTGTACTTTGGGTGTATAGGGAGCAGATAATATCTATATTTAGTTCAAAGATGTTCATATCAAGATGAACTGAATCTAAACAGCCTCATCTACACTTGGTCCTAATTAAACAGTGAGATCCTAGACTTTGCAATGATGCTGTAATGGTATGAGATATTTGGCGCATTGGGAGATGATGAGTGTATTTTCATATAGGAGGTAAGTGAATAATTAGGGGCCACAGGGTAGACTGTGACAGCCTGTCTCTAAGATGGCCCCACTATCCTTGGCCCATGGAAGTCATGATCTTGGGTAGCCACTGCCACAACCACAATGTTATAAGGACACTCAAGCAGCCCTCCAGAGAGATCTGTGTGGTAAGATACTGAGGATTCCTGGCAGTAGTCAACACTGACTTACCAGCCATACGAGTAAGCCATTTTGAAACTCGAACTTGACTTTAACCTCAAGAGACCCAGAGCCAGAATTACTCTGTTAAGCTGTACCTGAATTTCTAACCAACAAAAACTTTGAAATTAAGCTTGTTGGGTTTTTTTTCTTTCCTTTTTTTTTTTTTTTTCTGAGACAGAGTCTCACTCTGTTGCCCAGGCTAGAGTGCCGTGGCATCAGCCTAGCTCACAGCAACCTCAAACCCCTGGGCTCAAGCGATCCTCCTGCCTCAGCCTCCCGAGTAGCTGGGACTACAGGCACATGCCACCGTGCCCGGCTAAT